TATTTATTTGATTTCCAAGATACATCTCCTCCAATATGTTGAATACATAACCACTAGTTGCTTTGAAATCTTATAATAAGGTTTTCCAATCTGCATCAATATATCTTTTAAGTACAATAGGAAATCTCTGATAATGTAAACCGAGATTCACAGTCTTTTTAAGGTACCACATGACTCGCTCAATGGCTTTCCAGTGATCATTACTCGATCTACTAGTAAACATGCACAACAATCCTACACCATATTCAATGTCAGATCTAGTACAATCAGTGGCATACCTAAGACTGCCAATGATGTTAACATATTTCTATTTTTCAGAACACTTTCACTAGTGTTCTTAAATAGTTCCACACTTGGATCATATGTGTGCTCGCAGGTTTATAGTCAAAGTAATTATATTTCTTTAAGATCTTTTCTACATAGTGTGATTGATCTAAACAAATTCCTTGCTCGGATCTCGTGATCTTGATATCAAGAATCACGCTCACTTCTCCGAGATTTTTCATATCAAAGTCGTTGCACAACAATGATTTCACGTCATTAACTGCATGAATGTTTGATCGAAAAATGAGTAGAACATCTACATAGAGACATACGATAGTGTAAATGTGATTATCAGATTTGTAATAAACGCATTTGTGACTTTCATTTAGTTTTTACTCATTCAATATCATTAAGTTATCAAATTTTTCATGCCATTACTTTGGAGCTTATTTTAGCCCATGCAAAGACTTATCTAACTTACAAACCTTGTTTTCTTGTCCATGAATCGCAAACCCTTCCGGTTGGTCCATGTAGATCTCTTATTATAAGTCACGGTTTAAAAAAGCTATTTTAATATCCATTTGGTGTACTATTAAGTTATAAATAACAACTATTGAAATCATTACCCTAATGGATGTAATTCGAAGAAATCTAAATTTTCTCTTTGCCTAAAACCTTTGGCTACAAGGAGAGCCTTATGCTTATCAATTTTTCCGTCGAGTTTTAGTTTCTTTTTTCAAAACCCATTTAAAACCAATTGGTTTGCAACTAGGAAGCAAGTCTACTAAGTGACAAGTCTCGTTAGATTCCACATAATCTATCTCATCATTAATAGCTTCTTGCCACAAATCTGCATCCAGAGATGACAAGGATTCTTGAAGATTTATTGGATCTTCTTCTACATTATATGCCATATAATCAGGCCCATAGTCTTTAGTAACTCTTACTCTTTTACTTCGTCAAAGTTCTGTTTCTATTTCGTTGTTGCTTTCAATGCTTCTTATCACATGAATGTGATTCGATTTAGTGCCCCCACTATTTCTTGATTTGAAAGGAAATTTATCGTCACAAAATTCAACATCATTTGATTCTATTATCACTTTAACATTTAGGTCATAAAACCTATATACCTTATTGTTTGCTTCATATCCAATGAATACACATTCATAGACTCTACTAACGAGTTTAACTTGCTTCGGACCTGAAATTGTGACATAAGTCAAACAACCCCAAATTCTAAAATAAGACAAATTTTATTGTCTTTTCTTTAATATCTCATAAGGATATATCTTACTTTTTAACTTGAGAACTCGATTCATGACATAGAAAACAATCAATAAAATTTTCTCCTACTAGTGAGGTGCAACACTAAAATTCAACATAACCGCAACAACAAGTTCAATAAGAGTTCTATTATTTCTTTCTGCTTTACCATTCATTTCAGGAGAGTATGACACATTCGTTTCATGTACAATTCCATGTTTGTTTATAAAGTTCATTAAATAAACTAGAATCATATCGTTTCCCTATCACTGCAAATTCTTACTAAATCACTTTCAAATTCTTTACAAAGTTTTTAAACATATCAATTTCATTCACAAAAATTATGATGGTGTACAAATCTACCCCGATAGACTGACTAAACCCTGCCTTATTTAAAAGAAAACTAGAAACAAGATTCTTCCTAGTCTCGGGAACATGCGTGACGTCCTTCAAGATTAAAGTCTTTTCCGAGGTGAAATTCAACTCAATGTCTCCAATTCCAGCAACATTAGTAGCGTGGACATCTCCCAACAATAATTTCTTATCTTTAGTATTTGTGTATGTTTTAAATATAACACAATCATAACAGACACGACGAGAGACGCTGGTGTCTATCCACCAACCGTCATATCTGTAAACCATGTTGATTTTAATGATCATAGGAATAAATTTCCCATTAGTCAGATTAACTCGTGCATTAGGGGCAACACCAGGTTTAAGCCTACTTTTACATCTCTTAGCCATATGACTTGATTTTCCACAGATAAAACAAAGGGAAACCAACATCATTTCTTTGAGGTGGTAGTTGTTGCCTAGTTGGAGTAATTGGGACCATAGAAGGGTTCCCATTTTTAATTTGGTTCACAATATTGCAGTTCTGATTCTTTACTGGTTTTCCATATAACTTTAGAACTACACCGAATTTCTTTTTGTTGTTAAAATAACCTAGACATTTTCTTTTTGATCTTGTCTCTGAGTCTCTTCTTCAATTTGAAGGTGAATAATCAGAGTTTCAAAAACTTCTGTTGTTTTATAGCAAAGCAAAATTTTGAAAATTTTCTAACTATGAGGCATATTGTAAATAATACAAGCAATTTGAAATTGTTGATATAAATGCATACCTTTAATATTCATAAACAATCTTTTGAAGTTTGTAAGTTGAGCCTCCACAGACCTTTCATCTATACAATATGATACTTCAAGTAACGGTTTACGATATACTTCTTTGTTCCAACTTCTTTACTATCATATTTCTTTTGCAGAGCTTCTCATACATGTTTAGTAGCCTCACCATTACTGTAATAATCTGTAAGTCCATTCAAAATGTAATAATCATTCTTTCTATAAGGCAATTTCTTTCCTTAACTGTATATCCTTTGTTTTAACCTATGCAGTAAATTCATATTCATCGGAATTAACTATTACCTACGAGTTCACAAATTTCTTTCTATTAGTTTGTTCGATTGATCCAAAAGAAACAATAGGAATGTCATTGGTCAGAACATTGACAAGTATTGTTAAGAAAACTCATCATTTTTTGTTGCCAATATTTAAAATGCATTCCCTCAAACTTGAACGGTTTATCCGAGACAATCATGGAAGCACCAATAACTTCTTCGATAGCCATGAAAATTCAAAACGTCTTAAAGTTGTTGCTTTACGATTTTGAAAAATATTGCCACCAAAGAAATTACCGAGATGAGCTGCATAACATTTTGCTCTCTTTAAGACGTTTCGTGACACTGCCCAAAATTATGCAAAACAGTCGAACTACCACGCCGCCTCCAGGATAAAACAATCCAGTTCTATATTGTACGATTACTAATTGTTCGATAGATAACCGATCTAAAAATATACCTCTGATGGTACTAAGACCATTCGAATATGATATAAATACCACCATAATATCTAGTATAACCGTCAGTTGTAATGATTTTTTAAACCAAGGGAAATTTCAAAAATCTCCAAAGAAATTCAATAATGGTCATTTGACCACTGAAAAAGATTTCTCAAACAAAGAGAGATTCAAATAATTCTCTAAAGAGAATCTAAAAATTTTGCTTGATAATTTCTCAATTCAAACGAGGAGAAATTAACATCATCCTCTAAAGAAAATTCAAGAAGGTACTCGGAAAATTCAACGATTAAAAAGAAAGGAGAAGAACATGATGTTTCGACAATTCGAAAACTGCAGAATTATGAGAAATTATAAGAGTGAGGAAGAAAAAACTCTACAAAAAAATTTTTTAGTGTGTTTTGGAACGAAACATATACACTCATTATATAGTGAAATAAGTTAGCCAAAAAATATATTCTAAACAATGTGAGATTTAGAGTTTTTTTTTCTTTCAATTAACACAACAACAATAAAAGTTCTAACAATGTGATGCTAATTTTTTTTTTAAATTCATTATATTGAAAAATGGCTATGTTCTAACAATATAGCATCGGTAAAACTTAAAAACTCAATCGATAATTGTACAGAGACATAATATATAAGAGCACATATTTATACGCACGACATTCCACTTATTCGTAGTGAATTTTAATATTGGGCTACTTGACTAAAAACAAATAAAAAAACAAAAAAACTGATCCAATCTAAAATATACTTAATTAAATTGGATGAAAACATAACTTTTGGTGGAAGTCTATTTCTAATATTAATCATTTGGATCATATCTTCTCGTCTTATCTTATAGTCTATTAGTTATTTCTCCACGTGCTAGTCAAACCATTGAACCCCATTTTTCTCATTTTATTTATTCTAGATATTACTCTAATTCTTTCAAATTGTGTTATTTTAAATTTTTGGGGTCTAGTTTTACCACCTACTAGTATTATGTCTACATCTTCATCTTATTTAAGACAATATCGGACATTAAATATAGACACCTCATATGGTGTGAATCTAACCCTAAAACGGCGTGGATTTGAAAAGTCAATTTACTAACCGGTAAAAGAAATGAGTAGATACCAAAGCATTGAATTTTTGTAAGGGTAACTAGATGCTTCCTCCTTAAAATAAATGTAACATACATTGGAGACTTGACTCACTCTTGAATACGTGAAGAAGAAGAAAGTTTGAGCTTGGCAAACAAGCAACACCAACCACAGAAATTGTGTGTCCTATCATGTCCAAATTCACTTGATCGAGACTCTACTTTTCCTATGTATTATACTATTATTATGTCCATCCACCTATGTTTTTTCATTTGACAACAGTGCCAATATTCAATTTCCTCGAAGATTCCTGTGTTACCTATTATTGTATACACTTTAGTCAAAGAGGCTGCTTCTCTATAAGAAGAAACATCTCTATGTTGTATCTCCAAACTTTATCCAAGCAACAATTCAGGTCAGTTCAATTCAAACCGTTTCATTTTACATATGTTCAGGCTTTGTTTTTTTCATTATGTTAAGTAATTTGATTTGAGTGTGGGTAACTGTTTCTTAACAAACAGAAAGAAAAGATGGATCCAAACTTTCCAGAAGCTAGCAATTTCACAAAGGGCTATTACCACTTTGATGAAGAAGGAAGCATAGTGGTCTCTGAGTTTGATCCTAATCAATATGATAACTTTCTTGATGCTGATCCAAATCAATATGATGGCTTCCTTGATGCTGATCCACTTGATTTTTCAGCCAACACCATTCCTACACAAGGTTCTTCTATTGCCTCTGTCACAGATCCTTCCCTTGAAGACACTGATTTTTCAGATACAATTAAGTTCATAAGCCAAATCCTTATGGAAGAGGATGTTGACCGCAGACCGTTTTACGACCCGCTTTTGCAAATTACCCAGAAATTATTCAATGATGCCCTCTTACAAGATAACAAACCTCTTTCCCCCAATCAACACCCTTTAGATATTCATAGTTCTGATGGAAGCACCAGCACCAGCACCAGCACCAGCACCAGCACCAGTAATAGTAATAGTAATAGTAATAGTAATAGTAATAGTAATAGTAATAGTAATAGTAATATTGAAGAATTTCGAGAGTCAAAACCCCTTTCCCCCGAAACTCCTGTTTCCGATCTTAGTAATAATGTTTTTCAGTTTAATTCACCTGCTATTTCTTACACTTTGTCTCGACCTCATACTACTAGTGTTAGTGATGGACTCAGAGATTTGGATTCTTCTATCACCAATCTGTTGTCGCAAAACATTTTCAGTGATGCAGATTCAGTTTCCTTATTCAGGAAAGGTTTAGAAGAAGCCAACAAGTTTCTTCCTCCGCAGCCTAAGCTCGTGACCGGTCTAGAATCCTCCAATTTCAATATGGTTGGAGAGAAAGAGAATCCCTTTCTGTTGAAGGGTAGAAAGAATCACGAGCGCGAAGAAAGTGATGATAAAGAAGAAGAAGAAGAAGAAGCTAGGAGAAGTAACAAGCAATCGGCCATTAGTGTTGTTGACGAAGATGAATTATCAGAGATGTTTGATAAAGTTTTGCTTAGTCTGGAGCATTTGCCACTTTGCAATGACAATGATAGCTTACAGAATGGACAAGTGAAAACTGAGCAGTCGCCTCCATCGAATGGAGGAAAGGCTCGTACTAAGAAACAAAGCAAGAAGAATGAGACCATAGATTTGAGGAATCTTCTGCTTCTGTGTTCACAATCTGTGTATTCCAATGACAACAGAAATGCTAATGAACTTCTGAAGCAGATTAGGCAACATTCTTCACCCTTTGGGGATGCACCACAGAGGCTGGCTCATTACTTTGCCAATGGCCTTGAAGCACGCCTAGTCGGTAATGGTGCTAAGGTACAAACGTTCTTTTTCTCGGCGAGCTCCAAGAGGATTAGCACTGCTGAGTTTTTGAAAGCATATCAAGTTCATCTATCTACTAGCCCATTCAAAAAGTTTGCATACTTTTTTGCAATTAAAGCGATTACCAAAGCTGCTGCAAATGCTGAAACCCTTCACATAATTGATTTTGGTATCCTTTATGGTTTTCAGTGGCCAATACTTATTAAGTTTTTATCCGATACAAAAGGTGGACCTCCAAAACTTAAGATCACCGGGATAGAGTTCCCTTTACCCGGCTTTCGTCCAATGGAAAGAATCGAGGAAACTGGTCGTCGTCTTGCGAACTATTGTAAGCGTTTCAATGTTCCCTTTGAGTTTAACGCCATAGCATCGCGGAATTGGGAAACAATTCAAGTCGAAGATCTTAAAATCAAGAGCAATGAGGTAGTTGTTGTGAACTCTTTGATGAGGTTTAAGAATTTAGTGGACGAGACAATTGAAGTGAACAGTCCTAGAGATGCGGTTCTTCATTTGATCAGGAAGATAAATCCGGTAATTTTTGTTCAGTCCATTGTTAATGGATCATACAATTCGCCTTTCTTTGCTACACGTTTTAGGGAAGCACTGTTTCATTTTTCTGCTATTTTTGATAATTATGACACTGTAATACCGCGGGAAAACAGATACAGGATGATGATGGAGAAGGAAACTCTGGGTAGAGAAGTTATGAATGTTGTAGCATGTGAAGGTTTAGAGAGAGTTGAGAGGCCGGAGACATACAAGCAATGGCAGGGTAGGAATACAAGGGCTGGTTTCAAGCAGCTTCCATTGGATTCAGAATTAATGGACAAATTTAGGACTAAGTTGAGGAAATGGTACCATAAAGATTTTGTTTTTGATGAAGACAACAATTGGATGCTTCAAGGTTGGAAAGGTCGCATTTTATATGCTTCAACTTGTTGGGTGCCTGCATAATCAACTTACTTCATATTAGACTTATCTTGTGACTGTTATTCTTTAAAATCAGTTGTAGCTTTTTACTCTATCACCATACATGTTGTGATGGTTAGCTTATATTGCTATCTCTTTAGAAGCTTGTTCTTTTTTTATATAACGAAAGCTCGTTTTTCTTTTTTAAGTGCTTATTTACACCATTTTTATTTTTATTGAAGAAATTGTGATGCTTAAAACGGAGGAAAACAGATGCTATAGAATGTATATAATACATCACAAAAGATCTTTAACACTAGTCTATAATCATGTATTAATCCAAATTCAACACAAGACCAAATGAGTATGCAAATTTTATGAATGGAGGGCCTAATAAAATGAGCTTGGTATGCTTTCAAAAACTCAGCAGCAGTGATCCTCTTGGTGCTCGGCGAGGAATAGAATGTTTGTGCCCCGGCTCCATGGCCAACAAGACGTGCCTCAAGGCCATTAGCAAAGTAATGTGCCACCCTTTGTGATGCATCACCAAAGGGTGAAGAATGTTGCCTAATATGCTTCAGAAGTTCATTAGCATTTCTATTGTCATTATCATACATAGCTTGTGTTGAGATTTGGATTTTAAAATATTTGCTACCGGAGAAATTACTAGGTTGAGTCGCGGACTAGGTCGCTCTCTTTAAGACGTTTCGCGGCACTTCTCAAAATTATGCAAAACAGTCGAACTACTGTGCCGCCTCCAGGATAAAACAGCTCAGTTCTATACTGTACGATTACTACTTGCATGATAGATAATCGGTCTAGAAATATTCCCTCTGATGGTACACGACCATTCAAATATGGTATCAACACCACTCATAGTATCTGGTACAAAGACTAGTCATAATAATTTCTCAAACAAAAGAAACTCAAATAATTCTCCAAAAAGAAATTAATAATGGTCATTTGACCACTCATAATAATTTCTCCAACAAAGAGAAATTCAGATAATTCTCCAAAGAGAATCCAAAAGATTAAACTTGAAAATTTCTCAACTCAAATGAGGAGAAATTAACATAATTCTCTAAAGAAAATTCAAGAAAATACTCGGAAAATTCAACGAGTAGGAAGAAAGGGGAAGAAGATAGTGCTTCAACAATTCGAGAGACGCAGAGTTATGAGAGTGAGGAAGGAAAAATTAATAGAATAGTTTTTGGTGTGATTTGCAATGAAACATATGCACTCCTTATATAATGAAGTAGGATAGTTAATATTTCTCACATGAGCAATGTGAGACTAAATGATTTTTTCAACCAAAAAAAATATTCTAACAATGTGGGACTTGAGAAAATTTTAAATTCAACATATTAAAACATGGACATGTTCCAACAATCCCCCCACTTGAATTTAAAAAATTGATTTTGGAAGTAACGTCAAACGTTTCTAAGATTGTGCATAAACAAAGGTGTCTACGACTTGAACCTTTGTATAGCAAGTAGGATTCCAATTCAACAAGAGTGACACAAATGTCTTGAACTCTATCTCAGACATCAAACCCGCACACAATCTTTTCTTAAGGTGTACTCTAATAGCCCGTGCTTTGATGGTCCTACACATGTATCCCTGTTTAATGAAGGCTCTAGGAATTATGCCTCGAAATTCCATAGGAACCGGCCTAAGTTCCACAATCACATAGGTGAGTCTATCAAGAGTACTCTTGTAGCCTAGGTACTGCCTCATACAGAGTATAGATCTCATTAAGAGTTTTTATTATCTCATCCTCTTATTACTTCAGGATTCATGCTTTACTTGCATGCTCATCTCATATTACTCACAACTTGTTATTACCCATTGAACCTATTTCTTGGGATCTCCAGTCATTTAGGTTGGGTTACCATCATGAGCAACTCATTTTCCTATAGGTATTAGTCCCATCTTATATGATGTATTATAGACTTTCTCTCTAGCTAATCCTTTCGTCAAAGAATCTTCTAAATTTTCATCAGTGCGTACATGATCCACTCTTACAGCTCCTTTAGAGATACAATCTCTAACAGTGTTGTGCTTGCTTCTTATTTGACGTCTTTTACCATTATAATAACGGTTCTCAATTTTTTCAATAGTCGCAGTACTATCGCAGTAGATCAACACAACTGACATATGTTTTTCCCATAAGGGAATCTCAGTTAGCAAGCATCTTAACCAACTTGCTTCTTCATTAGCAGTCGCTAATGCTATATTCTCAGGATAGTATGTTTCTTTTATTTCCAAGATACAACTCCTCTAGCTATGTTGAATACATAGCCATTAGTTTCTTTGGAATCATCTGATAAGGTATTCAAATCTGCATCATTGTATCCTTCAGGTATAATAGGAAATCTATGATAATATAAACTGAGATTCATGGTCCTTTTAAGGTACCGTATGACTCGCTCAATAGCTTGCCAATGTTCATTACTCGGTCTACTAGTAAACCCGCACAACAATCTCACGACATATGCAATGTCGGGTTTAGTACAATCAATGGAATACCTAAGACTTCCAATGATGCTCGCATGTTCTGTTTGTTTAACACTTTCACCAGTGTTCTTAAACAGCTTCACGATTGGATCATTTAGTGTGCTCACAAGTTTACTGTCAAAGTAATTATATTTCTTTAAGATCTTTTTCACATATTGTGATTGATCCAAGGAAACTCCTTGCTCGGATTTTGTGATCTTGATACCAAGAATCACACTCACTTCTCTGAGGTCTTTCATATCAAAGTTGTTGCACAACAACAATGTCATATCATTAATGGCCTGAATGTTTGATCTAAATATGAGTAGATCGTCTACATATAGACATATGATAGTACAAATACAATTCTCAAATTTGTAATAAACGTATTTGTCATTTTCATTCACTTTGTACACATTCGATATCATTAAGTTAGCAAACTTTACATGTCATTCCTTTGGAGCTTGTTTTAGCCCACACAAAGACTTATCTAACTTATAAACCTTGTTTTCTTATCCATAGATCACAAACCCTTCCGGTTGTTTCATATAGATTTCTTCTTCTACGTCACCGTTTAAAAAAGTTGTTTTAACATCCATTTGGTGTACTATTAAGTTATAAATAGCAGCTATTGAAATAAGTACCCTAATGGATGTAATTCTAGTGACAGGAGAAAAGGTGTCGAAGAAATCTATATTTTCTCTTTGTCTAAAACCCTTGGCAACAAGGCAAACCTTGTATTTATCAATAGTTCCATCAGGTTTTAGTTTCTTTTTCAAAACCCATTTACAACCGATTGGTTTGCAACCAGGAGGCAAGTCTACTAAGTGTCAGGTCTTGTTAGATTCTAGAGATTATATCTCATCATTGATAGCTTCTTGCCATAACTAAACATCCAGAGATGACAAGGCTTCTTGAAGATTCATTGGATCTTCTTCTACATTATAAGCCGCATAATCAAGCCTATAGTCTTTAGCAACTCTTACTCGTTTACTTCGTTGAAGTTCTGTTTCTACATTGTCGTTGCTTTATGTGCTTCTTATCACATGAATGTGACTCGATTGTGTGCCCCCACTATTTCTCAATTTGAAAGGAAATTTGTCTTCATAGAATTCAACATCAATTGATTCTATGATCACTTTTGCCTTTAGGTCATAAAACCTATATGTTTTACTCTTTGCTGCATACCGAATAAAAAAACATTCATATGCTCTACTAGCGAGTTTAACTCGTTTCGGATCCGGAATTCTGACATAAGTCAGACAATCCCAAGTTCTCAAATAAGACAAGTTTGATTGTCTTTTCTTTAATATCTCATAAGGAGAGATCTTACATTTTGACTTGGAGACTCTATTCAGGACATAGCAAACAGTCAATAAAATTTCCCCCACCAGTGAGGAGCAGCATCAGAATTCATCATAATTGCAACAACATGTTCAATAAAAGTTCTATTCTTTCTTTCTATTTTACCATTCATTGCAAGATAGTATGGTGCAGTCGTTTCATGTACAATTCCATGTATAAAATTCATTAATAAACTAGACTCGTACAGTTTCTCTATCACTATAAATTCTTATTATATCATTTTCAAATTCTTTACAAAATTTTTAAACATATAAACTTCATTCTTCGTAATGGCGTGTAAATCTACCCCAATAGACTGACTAAACCATGTCTTATTTAAAAGAAAACCAGAAACAATATTCTTTCTAATCTTAGGAACATGCATAACATTCTTTAAGATTAAAGTCTTTTTGAAGGTGAAATTTAGCTCTATGTCTACAATTCCAGCAACATTCGTGGTCTGTCCATCTCCCAACAACACTTTCTTATCTTTAGTATTCGTATATGTTTAAACATAACACAATCATAACAGACACAATGAGAGACGCAAATGTTTATCCACCAACCAACATATCCATCAACCATGTTGATTTCAATGACCATAGCAATAAATTGCCCATTAGTCAGGTTGACCTGTGCGTTAGGGACAACACCAAGTTCAAGCATACTTATACATTTCTTAGTCATATGACTTGGTTTTCCATAGTTAAAACAAAGGGAAACCAACGTCATTTATTTTAGGTGGTGGTTGTTGCCTAGTTGGAGCTATGGGATCATAGAAGAATTCCCATTCTTAATTCGGTTCACAATATTGCAGTTCTGATTCTTTAATCATTTTCCAAATGGCTTCAGAACTACACCGAATTTCTTTTTGTTGTTTGAAACAACCAATAATTTTTCTTTTTGATATTGTCTCTAAGATTCCCTTTTTTGTTTTTTAAACATTCAAACTATGGGGTAGTTTGTCAATAATAAAACCAATTTGAAATTGTTCATTTAAACACATACCTTTTGTGATGATCTTTTAAGCAATCTTTTGAAGTTTGTAACGTTGAGCCTTCATCGATCTTATATATTTGCATTTGATACTTGAAGTAGCGGCTAACAACATACTTCTTTGCTCCAGCTTCTACGTCATACTTCTTTTTCTGAGTCTCTCAATCTTATTTTTGCAGTATCACATCCATTGTAATTATCATACAGATCATCTGCGAGTCTATTCAAAATATGATTTTGTAGAGATTTTCATTCTCTTTCTATAAGGTGATTTCTTTACTATGCTGTAAATCATCCGCTTTAATCTGTGCAGCAGATTCAACTTTAACACTATTAAGTGTTCCTTCTAAATCTCCATATTTACTACCGTTAGTTTGTTCGATTGTTCCAGAAGGAGTAACAGAATGTCATCGATCAGAACGTTAGCAACTTTTTTCAACGTTAAGAACTTCATCTTTTGTTGCCAACGTTTGAAGTGACTTCTCTCAAACATGAACGATTTCTCAAAGACAATATCCGCAAAAGAACTAATAATTTCTTCGGTAGCCATGGCAGTTTGAAACGTCTTAAAATTGTTGAGATTTGGATTTTAAAATATTTGCCACCGGAGAAATTACTAGGTTGAGTCGCGGACTAGGTCGCTCTCTTTAAGACGTTTCGCGGCACTGCTCAAAATTATACAAAGCAGTCGAACTACCACGCCGCCTCCAGGATAAAACAGCCCAGTTCTATATTGTACGATTACTACTTGCATGATAGATAATCGGTCTAGAAATACACC